TAAATCGAGACCTCTAATTTCCAGCTTCAGCCATTTCCAGCTTCAGCCGCGACAATAAATATTGTATTAAGTTTGTTTATATAAAAAAAGAAACAACGTTATAGCTTTGATCAAGAAGTTGAGGTTTTAGATTATTAATGCTTCAAGTATTGTAGTGGGATGAGTCTTCTGAGTTAGTCAAAAAAACGTACGTACGTACGTACGTACGCGAAAAAAAGGAGTGCAGGGGAGTGATATAAACCCAAAAAGGAAATTAGCCATCAGATAACGTGCGAAAGCGAAAAAAACTAGTAATGTTAAATTACGAGTACAGTCCTTAAAAAAACTAAAGAATTTTCAGTTTTGTTAATCGGATGTTGGTTCGGAAGGGATCGTCATCTCGTATAGTAAGTTTTCCTTCGCCACAGCCAGGTACTACCGCGTAAAAATTTTAGTTTTAAAAACTCAAGATTTTTTCTGATAACAAAAAATTTAGGCAAAATTTAGTTTAAATTTAACAAATTTTAGATAAATTTTGATTTAAATTTAATAAACTTTAGATAAACTTTGATTTAATTTAATAAATTTTGGAAAAATTTATAGGTTCATTCTTTTTTTTTGTTAAAATACAACATTGTAAGAATTTTCAATAAATCAGTAGTTAAGTTTTGCTGATTGTTTTGAAGAACATTATTATAAGAACGCAAATCGCACTAAGTCACATAAATTTACATCTCTAGATCACGGCATCAATATCCAATACAAACTAGTCATGTAATGTATATATGTCTTAGAAGTTAAATAAGTTTGTATAAAATTTTTATTATTAAAAATAAAATACGTATCATGAATCTACTGCGCAGGCTATGCAGCCCACACAGGTCCACATTATGGTAGTTTTATGCTAATACAGGCCAAAATTGTAAGATTCTGAAATATTCCGAAATTCAAAATATTCCACCTGCATAGTATCCCATCTCTACATATCACAAATGATAATTTTAGATATAATTCTCAAGAATTTCGAAATTTTAGAAAAATTTGAATTGATACTTAAAATTTTAGATTTTTTGTGAAAATTTTATATCTAAAATTTTACGGGTCCCTGCTACCGCTACTGAGTGACGCTAGATTGGTTCGGAAGGTTGGCCTCCGGAGACAGGTCGGGGGTGATCTGCAGCCCTACATGATCTGAAGGGGCAATCCCTTTTAAGAAATACTTGCAAAAAATTACGCGTTTGTGTAACATGATAATCATTTTGACTAAGGTATATAAGACGCTATCTTTCGTGTTTTATACTGTCTATTTTTAAGCATTGCGACATTATATTAAACCCCTTTTTTTTTGTGTTTTTACGATTCTTGAAATCTTGCACACACAAGGTAATCTATCTGTTCATTTTCTTTGCATCAATGTTTTAATTTCTCTCCGAAAGGTGCCACTTCACTTCAATCAACAAAACAATATGGATGCTAAAAAGAACAAGGCACATTTGCGTTTTCTAACCTTTTACGCAACGTTAAGAACTAGCGCACATCTTAGGAAATAGAATGATGTTTACCAGTATAAGTTTCTTTGATAAGGTCTACGGGTTTTGGATAAGGAGTTAGTTACTTTATGATAACAAAGGAATTTATAGACGCGACTAGCCATCCGAATTATTTCAGATTACGCATATTGCAAATTTTTCCTAACAAAATTCTTCTTTTATAGAGCTCTCTATCTGAAAGTAAATAATTTATGAAAGAATACTGTGTCCTGAGTAAATCCTAAAGATTTGAGTCGGTTTGTTTAATTTTCGTTAATCAATTTTATTAAAGTTTAAACTTATTAGGACTAATTGTTTTTTATTAAAAATATTATTCTTACGCGTTAGTGAAGAGTTATAAAGAAAAACGGGCTCGGAGGGTTTCGAACTATACGACGTCAAATTGAAGCTATTGAAATAAAGATTGAGTTGTTGAAATTAAAACAAACATTGGAATTGCGTAGAAATTATACGTTAAGAAATATGAAAAAATTAAGTGAGTTAAACAATCAAAATAATGGTAAGTATAACAGAATAATTTACGTAGATGGTGGCGTTTTAGCCAGGTGCTTGTGCTTTACTAGATACGTTCCGGTAGGGATCACCACAAGTGCCGAATTAGATGCAGGTTTTCTAGATACGTTCCGGTTAACTAGGGTCAATGATTTTAGGTGGCGTTCCCACAAAAAATTGTTCATCCCCAGTAATTTTGACCAATCAAAATTTAAGATCAGGTGTCAAAACAAACGTGTTTGGTTTTCTAAGTAAAAAAGTTACGCGTAAAATGAAAACCAAGAAAACCGTGTTATAATTAGGGTTAGGGTTAGAACAATATAACGCTTATTAGTAAAACATCACGAGGAACATTTTTAATTAGACCACAGAAGGTGGTTTCCTAATTAAAATTTAGCTTGTTTTTTTTATAAAAAAACCGATTTTTACGTTACAACTGATCCTGAAATTCGATTGGTCAAAATCACAGGGGTGAACAATTTTTTGTGGAAGAGCTAGGGGCGTCGGGTAAATGGCACGCTAAAAAAGAATTGTCATGCCATTGGCCAAATTTCATGCCATACCATACTATAGACATGCCATAAGATATGTTCAATTTAGATTGGTCAGTTTTCATGTGATTCGAGTTGTGGTTAGGAATTGTTATTGTCGGGGATGAAGCTTGGAATCGGATGATGCTGGGAATTTGGGTCTCAATCTAAAAATATAAACCCTACAAAAATCCACATATACTTTTTTATTATAAATTCTAACCATAAATTTTAACCTAACTTTAAAAAAATTCAAATTCTCAGCATCATCCGATTTCAAGCTTCATCCCCGACAGTTATTGTCACAGATCATAATGAAATCGGATTAAAATGAAATGAGGGTAGTGACTTGAATCGGTTGAGCTATAATCGGTTAACCGACCCGAACCGAATAAATTTCGGGTAACCGGTTGAAGAAATTCTTAATCGGCTGACCCAGTACAACCGGTTGGTGGGATCAATATAGTATGAAAATGACAAAATGACGTAAGGAGAATAAAGGATCCGAAAAGGTCCGACAAGAAAAAAATGAATATAAAAATTATAGTAAAACTCCGAGAATTTCCGAAGATAGTACTGTACCGTATTACCCCGAAATAACGCCCTGGGGTGTAGGTTAAAATTTTGGCCCGAATTAAGCTTAATTTGGCCCAAATT